GACCACTCAGGGGTATCCTTTGCGCAGACAACGTCGCACTCTAGCATGACGGTAGTGTGGATCGGCAGCCAAGGCAGATTAGCGCGGCATTCATGAAATAGAGAAAGTCTAGTGGAATTCTCTGCGATTGGTGCTCCAGAACGCTCAAAATGAGAGGTGCCGGACAGTGATTAAGCTTGCGGTGCCATACAGCAGCGAATGCTGGCTTCTGAACCAGAAACATAAAGGACTGCTTCCCTTCGGAGAAATGAGGGTGCTGAGATAGACTTGCGGCCGGACACGACTGGAAAGAGACGGGAACGAAACGACAGCCAGCCAGCAGATCAATCTTTCCCCGTGGAGGTACAGACTACCGATATACACAAACATCTAACAGACCACAGACATCAACCGCATCAAGAGGTAGCAACGTATTTCAACGCGTGAGGCAAACGATCACGACAGCTCCAAACTGAGGCGGAGGGTCGTCATCAAGAAGGAACCAAATGGGTTACGGCCACGACAGAAGCTGTCCTGAATAGAACAACGTGGCGACGACCAACAATGATAGCGGGCCCTGTGAAAGCGTGGGGCTAACGTAAAGAAAAGAAGGAGACCATATTTTGACTAGTACAAAGTTTAGAAAGTTGCTGACCGTTTATCACACGAAGAATGATACTTTCCAAATGCTCAATCAAAAAGCAATTCAAGTAACTTCATAAAACACAAACTGAAAACCTAAACCGTATACCTGAATTTCCGATGGATCAAGAAAAACTGATGCATAGATATGATAAAGAGCGCTGTCATCGCGATTACCAGCTCACAGATACATATGGTGATGAGCTCACAGCTCTCTTGAACATAGTTGAATGGGAAAGCCACTGTATCGACCCTCACCCTTATCACATCTTTCCAAATGTTGCAGCCAGAGGGTCATTGGAAGTATGCCTTAGTTCTCTTAATCGACGATGCTGGGCCGCCTCCTGCTGCCCACCTACTCGTTACCGACCAAGGACTACCGAATCGTCACAGGTTTGCGCCGCAATGGATCAAGATGAAGGACCACGTGCTCCATATCTGTGTCTTCCCTGTTTTCAGGTGTTCATTTGTATCGTGGCAATCTATTGTGTTCTTTTGTGTTGTCTTGTTTTGGATATAACTTTATTGTGGTACTTGCAGCTGATCACCTTAGAAGAAGAAATCGCAATTAGCGCACAGCAAATTCTACTGATGAAGCTTCTTCGTTGCAACATACATATTTGGATATAAGAATAACGGAGCCAAGCGATAAGTTCGTAAAAATGCAGATTCCTAGAGAATAATCACTGACTAACACTTGCACTACCGAAGCCCAGACGCCATACCTGACACAACGCATCACCAAATCCGCGTCCATCTCCACCTCAGTGGCAACCTCCATTAACAACAAATCCATCGATCTTGAGTATAATCTAAAACAGAAAATTATACCTTTCCCACTATTCGATAAAAAGTGAAAGTACAAGCTTCACTGCTAGGAAAGTACATCCTTCCTACCAATAACAGCAAGGCATCTTCTATGACATCGCCCTGATATATTATGGCATAGATAGTATAGCTCAGGCCAAGGTGCAGAAATGGTAGGAGATATTGACAGGGAGAGCTCCGACTGAACGCGAAAAAGACCAAATTTTCCAGTTCTGGAGAGTGCAAAGAGCCGGTCGTGGATGATTATGGGGATACATCGAAAGAGTAGAGATCTTCCGATCCCTTGTGAGCGATGTAGCCGCTGACGGTTGTGTGGATCGGGCAGTGAAAGCACGGATCAACGCGGCATTAAACAGTCCAGGCAGGGTTTCAACTACTTGGTCATTAGGCGGTCAAAACATGCCCCAGCCCAACTAAAGTTTATAGGAAATGTCTTTAAGTTCAAAACCTACCTCTAAAATGCGCTGGAAGGGGTCGAAGTCCTCTTGGAGGGGCGGATCACCCATACCGAGGCGGATCGCTCAACATACGCTGTGCAGAGTCCGCGTGCCTGACTACCTGCCTCGCTCTGGCAAATGTACTAGTCTAGAAACTCGAGTCTTAGCGAGCGTGCTGCCAGAGGCGTGTCTACAGGTTTAGCCAGTCCTTTGATAACCTTGTGACAGGCCTGCCTCCAGACCTACGCTCTTCCTGAGCTGACCGCTGCTGCCCTTTAAGGTTGGGGCTGATGGATGAAGCTGTGCCTAGCACGTGCTCCTGCCCCTGCTCGGGGTCATTACACCGATGGTGGACTGGCGCTGTGCAGAGTCCGTGCTTGACTAGCGGTCGTTGCGGGACCGCCGCGCTGTATGAGGTCGATTCCATAAGAACGCAATTGAAGCGCTTCAATTTCGATTGCTGGCAAATAGTTATGTATTTGCAAGCATGCATGGCTATTTGCCAGCAGTTGCAATTGGAGCGCATGTACTACGGGCAGGTTCGGACAACTCGTCCAACACACGTCTCCCTAAACGGCAGGGGGAGTCCCTGTCTAAGCCCCTGCCCGACGTTTTTTTCTACTTTTTCTTTCTCCATTGACCAACTTCTCACCTGCAACGTCATTATTATTTGGTTTCTTACCGCGATCCTCCTCGATTTCTTAATGAAGAACAGCAGTCTGAAGTGACTGTCGATTAAGTTCTCTGGAACCTTAAAGCAACAATCCAGGAACGAATTCGCGGGTAAGGACCACCTATAATGACGTTGCAGGTGAGAAGTTGGTCAATGGAGAAAGAAAAAGTAGAAAAAAACGTCGGACAGGGGCTTAGACAGGGACTCCTCCTCTGCCGTTAAGCGATGGGGGGAGACGTGTGATGGACGAGTTGTCCGAACCTGCCCGCAGTTGCATTTCCTAATCGTTTTTGAAGAAAGGTACGACGCAAAGAACTGTGAGCGAGTCTGCAGGCGGTCGCCGTTCTGGTGATAGTATCGATACATCTTGGCTGTGAAAAATGCAGAATGAAACCAAAACTATTCAAGGATGGGGCTTGATTGCTCAAAACTGGTCCCGCAACGTCTTCGCACCTGGCCAAGCCATCATCACGGCTGGGAGACAGCGGCCATGCCCGCTCCCGCCCATCCCAGTCCCGCCTCCGCCCATCTGCTGTAGTTCGTCGCCCTTCCTACAGGCTTCCAAAGGTGAGTTCATGTTCAGTTCCCTTTCAGATATGTTTAACTAGGACCAGTGCTTCTCCCCACCCCATTAGCGACTAATGCTCGGAACCCTGCCTGGACTGTTGCTTTAAAGGAAATTGCACGGACAATGGTATAACTTCGCGGATGTCATACGCGAAGCAAGCGCTGGCCCCTAAACCAGAACCACAGAAGGCAGCTTCTCTCTGCTGAAATGAAGAGCTGAGATGGGAATGCGGCTAGACACGGCTGGAAAAGGTCAGAAACGAGGATGTCTGAGCGGTCCTGATGGCGCCGACTGAGGATGGGAAGCAACGCCTGCGATGGTATGGGCATGTGCTAAGGAGGCCACAGGATCATCCGATAAGAACAGCGATGGACTTCGAAGTGCAAGGCAAGCGACCGCGAGGAGCCCCAAAGAAGAGGTGGAGAGACGTGATCAAGAAGGACCTAAGTGAAGTCATGGCCACAGCAGAAGATGCCCTGGACAGAGCAAAGTGGCGACGACTGACTAAAGACGCGGACCCTGCGACTGCGCGGGACTAAAGCTAGGGAGAAGAAGAGGAAAATAATCAAATCAGATGCTCAATTAAAAAGCAAAACAAATAACTTCATTCAACCCAAAATAAAATTTGAACAGCAATACCTGAAGTTTCCGATGGATTATTGTGGAACTCATGAGGCTCCCGTTGCAACATACACATTTGGATACAAGAATAATGGAGCCAAGCCGATAAATTCGTAAAAATGTAAATTCCTAGAAAATAATCAGTGACTGAAACACTTGCACTACTGAAGCCCAGCAGACGCCATACCTGACACAACGCATCACCACACCCCGCACCCTGCGTCGATCTCCACCTCAGTGGCAACCTCCTTTACACAACAAATAAATCGATCTGAGTATAATCTAAAAACAAAAAACTATACAGTCCACACCTTTCACCTTCGATAGAAAGCGAAGCTCGTACAAGCTGTTCACTGCTAGGAAAGCACATCCTTCCTATCAATAACAGCAAGGCTTAACTTATAGCTGATAAACATAGGCACCATGTAGACTCAATGAGATTAAAAAACATTAGGTATAGAACCAGACACTTAGTTGGAATGCACCAAGGATAGCGGAGGATGGCTCTCAGTAGACCTTCAGCGAGCCCTTCACCAAAACATTTAGCGATGAAACAGAAGACTCAGGACCTTCCTCTTCGCAGACAATATCGCCTTGATAGTGGACAGCTCAGAGAACGCCATGGCAAGGTGCAGAAATGGCAGGAAGTGCTGGCAGAAGGTGGGCTCCGGCTGAATGTCTAGAAGACCAAGTTCCTGAGCTCTGAAGAGAGTATTGAGCCGATCGTGGACAGCCATGGGGAAAGGATCGAAAGGGTAGAACATTCCGATGAAATGAGGATGCTGAGATGGGCTTGTAGCTGGACACGGCAACAGGTCGAAAAGAGGACGTGAGGCAGTCATGCACACCGCCCCTGTCCAACACAAAGTGCGGGAACCACCAATGCGATGGTACGGACACGTGCCAAGAAGACCACAGAATAGACCATGGGAGGAGTAATGGACTTTGACGCGGGCAAGCGACCAGGAGGAGCTCAAGGAAAGGGGGAAGGTCGTCATCAAGAAGAACCTAAATGAAGTCGGCCACGGCAGAAGCTGCCCTGGACAAAACAACGTGGCGACGGCTAATAAAGTACAGCAGACCATGCGACTGCGAGGGACTAATGTAGGGAAAAGTTCGTATTTCGGCTAATACCAAATTTAGAGAAAGGGTTGCCGGCCGTTCCATTACACAAAAATGATACTCTTCAAATAGTCGATGAAAAAGCAAAACAAATAACTTCTTGAAACACAAAATGAAACTCGAAGCAGTACTACCTGAATTTCCGATGGATTACTGTAGAACCCATGAAGCTTTCCGTTGCAACATACATATTCGAGTGCAAGAATAGTGGGACAAACAGACACATTCGTAAAAATGTAAATACTGGAAAATAATCGGTCACTGAAACACTTGCACTGCTGAAAGTTCGGCATACGCCGTACCTGACACGACGCCTTACCAAATTCCTGCCGATCTCCACCTCAATGGCAATCTCCTTCACATAACGAATTCCACCAATATTGGGTACTATCTAGAAACAAATCTTTCACACTATACGACAGAAAAGAGACTTGTACGAACTGTTTACCTTCTGAGAGAGCTCGTTCATCTTACCGATAATAGCAGGGCTTAACTGTGTAGCTCTGGTGAACATAGGCACCACATAGAGACTCACCTGAGTTTAAAAAAAACTATTAGGTTCAGAACCAGATAAACGATCCCTTCTAACCACCCTACAAATCTTTGGAGGTTCTACACCACTGTAGGACGGGCACGACTTCAGGTACAATGTGATCAGATCGGTGACAGGAAATACGTATTCCCCTACAAATCAATACCGATCACAATAATTGCTCCTCTCCAGTAGTGGGAAGGATAGTGCTAAGAGTTTCATAGTCACAATAACTCACTTCAAAACAATGGGGGGCACCCCTTTACCCTTCCGTTGAAACGATCATTTATCCGAATAAGTGACCTCACTCACACACAAATTCAACCGACCAAACATGTACCGCTCACGGCATTTGAGATACTCGTTGTAGAGAGAACACTTTCAAGGGCTCAGTCTCA